ATAAATCATCAATGGGGAGTTTAATTTATGAAAAATTTTTATGAAAAAATATAATTACCATTTTGGTTCTTTTCCTAGGTAAGAAAATATGTTATTAATTCATAATGTATTGATATAAAACAAAATATTTCGAACCTTTTCTTTTGACAATTGTAACAATGAGTTCAATAAGAAGAAAATTGACACCACATAAATTCAACAAATACCAATAATCTCCTTTAATAATAACAATTCTAATAATAGTAATCGTTGCGTGTAATGCAAATATTAAACGCATTGATATTGCTTTCAAAATATCTATTGAATGACAAATCCAACGACCACAACTGTTCAATTTTTCTTTCGTCGTCATTGAAGTTTAATTTTTTTAAAAAGTCAATGAGCGAATAATGTATGATAATATTTGAATAAAGCAAGTAAATAAAATATGTATAATTTTAAAAAAAAATTTTAAACGTTTAAATATAACAATTTAGAACGAATACTGCTACATAAAATATTTGATGATTGATTATATGCTTTGTAAAATGTAATAACAGCGAATAGTAGAAGAAAAAAATGTATAATAAAAGATAATTTTTCAAAAAAAAAAATTGCAAAATGAAATAATATACTAGAATAAATTATAAAATTTAAAATTAAATCATTCAACTAAAGAAGAAAACTCATATTCGATCTATATGATAAGAAATTATTTTTCAATGAAAAAAATGGATAAATGATTTGAGGTAAGTTTTATGAAAGAAAAATATGATAATAATTATATCATTTAATATTTTATTGGTTAATAGAATAATAATAATAATAATAGTAGTAATAATAACACGATGAAGAATATAAAAGTAGATATTAATAATTAAATTGGAACATTTGTATCATATAGAAAAAATAACAACAAAATAACAACTAGGATTGTTTTGTAAGAAAAGAGCACAAATAAAAATTAATGATATCTGTAATAGTCTTTATTTCATAGTGATATAACTTATCTTTACTATAAGGCTACTAATTGTTATGTCAAATAACAATAAGTAAAAAGAAAAAAGTAGTTAATAATTCTCGTCTTTGTTTAGAGAAAAAAAAATATTCCAGTACAGACATAGACAATGTATTGTCTCATTCAAGTGAATAAAAAAAAAATATCTCCTATATTTAGAAGTATATCCTCAGAATATGATAATAATAAATTGATGCTGATATTATTCATTCAAACCGTGCTCTATCAACGTCCAAAAGACCTGTTTTGTTTTCAACAACAAGTGTAAAACAATATTAAACCGCAAAAAGAAATTTCGATGATACGCCAATAAAGCTGATAATTATAGCGTTTATGTTAGCCTATATTGAGGTCGGTAGCAGATCTAGAATCTCGATTAAAATTGTATTTCTTATCCGCTGAGTAGAAAATGTATCAGATTATTTTCATCGAAATAGAAATTTGACAAAAGTATAGAAGACATTCAAAATATGTTTTATACGTACGATAATCCAATACTCTTCACAACGGAATTTATGATAAGTTATTCAATCAATCAGTAATGGTAATTAGTTTTGGGAATATTCTGTCAAATGAAAGATCGTATAAAAGCAAATTGAAAAGTGGGCATACTTATTGATCGATAAAGGTTAAGTTTAAAAGCACAAATTATCATTCTATTATTAAGATCGGAGTTAATAGCGCGATTTAAGAACATATGTTTGTTTACATTGAAATATCTTGATGCTATAGCTTAACAAGAACACGATAGGAGAATAAAAGGCTACATTTATATTACATGTATTATATATTACGCATAAACATATTCTTATTATTTATTACTTCAGTTTTTATCTTAGAGAGAGAGAAGTTGATCGGGCATGCTTATTCTAAAAACAATTGTGCTTTGTGCTTGGATCATTTTTAATTACCACTGACAGATACGACTTTATCAAGTTCCTTCAAAACTATATGTATATTATAAATGCGAGACACAATAGATGATCTATCTTTCTATATGGATAAAAAATACACACTAAAAGATTATTTTTCTCTCATTTACTATTACCCATTCTTGTTATATATTTTATATTTTATAAATATAAATAATAAAGCGACCAATTTATAGAATATTTTTACATGTTCAGACAAAAAGTTGTTTTTTCCTAGTTTTAATAATAACTGAATAACGTATACGAATAACAGTAACGGACTTGAGAAAGGAATTACGTATAGAACTCAAACTTTATACATGTCAGTCTAGCTGAAACGGGAGAGCATTTTCATATCAACGTTAAGAAAAAAATAAAGTTCATTTAGAGTCGCGAAAAAGTGCTTTTTCGTATTCAGTACACTCGATATCTCAGAAGATTTTTTGTTTTCGACACGATGTATTACCAAAAGTTTAGAAAAATTTTTTCGAACAGAACAGCGAAGAAAACTTCTATGGAAAAATAATATTTAGTTTCAAAATTTTTATTAAAATTTTTTGCAGTATTCTTGCCAAAATAGAAAATCTTTTTTGAGTTATCGTGTGTGCTGAATACGATAAAGCACTTTTCCGCGACTCAAAATGAACTTTATTTTTCTGTCGGCGATATGTAGCAGGGCTCGAACCAGGCCAGGCTTTTCGGCCTGCACCAGGCTAAGGCAGACCAAGTCTAAACTGAAATAGATTCAGGCAGAGCTTTGAAAACATCAGGCGGCCCAGCCTGGTTATTAATGAACGCCGTGCATCACCTGGGCAAGGCCCAGGAAATATATCGACAGGCCCAGGCAGATCTAAACATTACGGGTCTGACGCAGGCTTCGAACCATTAAATATTCTTCTTTTTTAAATTCAATCATATAACTTGAAGAGCTCACTAAATGCTTGATATTTCTTTCTGACTTCACCAAAAATATTTACATAAACTGTATAATTGTTATAAATATCAATATCAACATACTTGCCTAATTCGTCATACTTTTAATTGGTATGATTTATTCTATTTTTTGCTAATTATATAAAAGTTTTGACAGTAAAAACACATTATAAAAAGTTTTCTCACTATTGCTTTGAACACATATATCATCATGCAAAGGCAACGGCATTATTACTCTAATGTACGACGAAATCACTTTGAAAGAGTAATTATTCTTGTTGTCTATATCTTTTCTGCTATTCTTTCTATAGTAATAAGAAGAAATTCTCTGATGAGATATTTGTGGTTAGGTGAAACGCTCTTTCTGTACTTTTTAGAAACAACTGTCTATTATAGACAATATTACCCTGTTTCTCCTTGTGTAGACTGTCTATAATATCCATTAGTGACATCTTACTCTTACAGATTCTCAAAATAAAAGTAAACCAGTCAAAGTCTAAAGCATTTATAGGTCTTGAATAGCTGTTTGATATGTTCTAAGCATAGAAGACATCCAAATCGTTAGAACGACTGACAAAAAATAAAGTTTCAGCCAGGGTTCGAGGTTGTCACTTTTACGAAGTCCGAAAAGTGGAAAAAAGCAGAAAGCATCCCATGTCGAGCTGTTTTTAAAATATCGACGGTAATTTATTAGACCGCGATACAGAAAAATACCGCAGAGTAACCGTTTTGTTTTGCACCCGTCAATACATATAAGAAACACAGAAAAGTTCAAAAACTTGAGTTTTTTTCAGATTAAACTTTCTTTTAGAAAAATAAAGTTGGTTTTGAATTGCTGAAAAGTGCTTTTTCGGTTCAGCATACTCGATAACACAGAAGATTCTCTAATTTTGGCGAGGCGTACTTCCAAAAGTTTAGGAAAAATTCTGCAACAAAATGGGGCAAAAAAATTTCCATGGAAAAATAATATCAGTTTGAAAATTTTTCATAAAACTTTCCGAAGTACCCTATGCCAACAATAGAAAATTTTCTGAGTTATGTGTTGAATATGAAAATGCACTTTTCAGCAACTCAAAACCAACTTTATTTTTTTTCCGGTATTATGTGGTACTTTTTCGGTTTTGAGAATATGGGCTACCTTTCGCTTCCGATGTGTTTGTATGGGTAATACTGTAAAAAGTTTAAAGATGCACTTTCTGATCAGCGGATTCAGAAAGATTGGTGAATCACTTTATAAATGTACTAATAGAAAACAAAGTTTATCAAGAGTAATTGCATTGTATCAAGAAAATTAAAAGGAAAAGGCGAAAAACGTGGCAATCCTGGTTTCAATATCAATATAGAAATTTAAAGGATATTGATGCAAGTGGGGTTAAGATCAGCAGAGCTCTGGACCTTGAAAACGCCAGACTCACAGGATTCTAATCCCAGCTAATATGTTGCTGTCTGGAAACTTCTTTGAAAATCGACTGTGGCTCTGTTCAGCTTATGCATGTGGCGCTCCCAATGAAGTACATAGAATCTAATCGTCCTTACAACTTTACTACGGCATATTTTTGTAACGTAACACGTTATGCGTTTTGAACTTTTACCTCCTTCCTTGATAGCAAAATGTCCTCTACGAGTCGAGCTCGAGACACCGGAATGGTCTCAGATGATGCTAGTATGAAGATTCTAATAAGTACGTATCAAATGCAACAAATTCAAAAAACAAAATTTTTTTCTTTCTCTTAATTAGAATTCAACTGATCATAACTCCAGCTGCAACGATATTTCTTATGAAGGCACACCTCAGCGGCACACATTGTTCTGCATTTGGTGAAATCAGATATAGCTTTAGAATAACATTTTTCATTGATATCCTCCATTTAAGATACGTGAAAAGCAAACGGTATGAGCAAAGCGCAACTTTTTCAATCATACAATGATTATAGAGTTTTCCTTGTACTATTTGCTCGTGACGTATCTTAATCATGGTTTCACGGCCTGAGAATCTGTTGAAGATCTTGAAGAGCTTTTGCCATTGAAATAGTGTGTTATGAAGACGTTTTATAGTTAAGATCGAAGTGACTTGAAGCCTATTTTCTACTGTCGTCTTTTCATTTGTCTATAGATTTATTTTCCTTGATTGTCATTAATTGAATTATATTTCTACTTCAATGGTACGTTTTAATACAACTTTATTGCGAACGATGAGAGATGATTTTGTTTTTCCGTTTACATAAGCAGACAAATAATGGCGGAAGCAGTAACAACGTTGCAAATCAACAAAATGCATTTACAATGGAAAATCAGGAAAAGTTATTAGCTGATGCGTTACAAAATGTTCGTCAGCATGCATTTTCGATGAAAAGAGTTTTAGTAAGTAGAAATCGATGTTTAATGCTCGTTATTTATCATCATTATTTTCGTCTTTAGGACCAAGGAGTAGTGATGGATGGATTGAAACATGCTGCTAATATGTTGAGTGAACTGCGTACATCGTTATTATCACCGAAGAACTATTATGAACTTCGTATCCTTCTGAATGACTTTTAAATATTTTATTTTTGTTTTGAAGATAGAGAAAGAGATCCTTGACTTTATCTTCTGTTCAGATGTTGTTGTTGTTGAAGAATTACATCATTTGGAGTTGTATTTAACAGATGAATTTGAACATGGACGTGGTAGTCATGATTTGTATGAAGTTGTGCAATATGCTGGAAACATCGTACCAAGATTGTATGCACAAAATAAAACTTTTACTTGGTTCAGAAAGAAATCTCTAATTCTCGATTCCTAAAAGTTACGGTAGTTTTTTTATGCTTTAGATATCTGCTAATTACAATTGGTCATGTGTATATTCGTGCCAATGAACTTTCTCGAAAAGATATATTACGTGATTTAGTCGAAATGTGTCGTGGAGTTCAGCATCCATTACGCGGTCTATTTCTGAGAAATTATCTATTACAATGTGTCAAAAGTTTATTACCCGATCAAGAACAGGAAAGTTCGTAAGTGATACATCAGAAAAAAAGATATAACGCACTTTAGCTTTCAATATTTCTTTTAGTGATGAGAACAAAACTGGTACTATACTTGAGTCACTTGATTTTATTCTTCTAAACTTTGCTGAAATGAACAAGCTCTGGGTTCGAATGCAATATCAAGGGCATACTAGGTAATAAATCTTAATAAACGTATTTGTTCAAAAATCAAAATAATTTTTCAATTGAAGAGATTTGCAACGTCGCGAACAAGAACGTCGTGAGCTGAGAATACTTGTTGGAACAAATTTGGTACGCTTAAGTGAACTGGAATGTGTTAATGTCGATAGATATAAAAATGTACGTAAATAAATTTTATCTGTTTGTGTTTTGATGTTATTTCTATCCCCCAGTAAAATTGCCATTATAGAATTAGCAAATAAGACGATATCTCTTTTCGCACATCTTTCTGTTCTCTTTCTTTTCTATTGACGCACTAAGACGAAAAAATGTCCGCACATGGAATATCTTATGTGGAAAAATATCTCCTTATTTGCTAGATTCCTATTGATTGCTTCATAATGATATAAGTTTTGCCAATTTGGTGAGTCTTGATCGTTGTACATTTGATACAAAGATTTTCTAAACAGCTAAAAATATTTGATGCTCATGTAGGAGAAGAGCTAAAAAACTTGTTCTTTTCTTAGATTGTTTTGCCAAAGATAATGGAACAACTTGTCAGCTGCAGAGATTCGATAGCACAAGAATATTTAATGGAATGTATTATACAAGTAAGTATGCCATAAAAATAAAAATAACGATAACGTTGAGTCTTAACTGTCTTTGTACTTATTTCAGGTATTTCCCGATGAATATCATTTACATACATTGAATTTATTTTTAAAAGGTTGCCGTGAGTTAGCACCTACAGTAAATATTCGCAATATTTTGATATCACTGATCGATCGGTAAGCAGCAACAGTAGAGTAAAACAGTGATGTAAGGTTAAAACTGGTATTCTAGTCTAACCTCTTATTCGATACGTGATGGTGTACAACAGAATATACTCGAAACAATCAAATTATTCGATATATTCTCCGAGCAAATATCCGAAGTGATAAAAGTAAGCAAAATACAGTTTAACCATATTTATCAAGAACCAAATATTTTTGTCTTTTCAGAGTCGATCAAACATGCCTCCCGAAGATATTGTTGCATTGCAAAGTGCTCTTCTTAGTCTGGCATTGAAATGTTATCGTGATGAACCGGATTATGGTGATAAAGTAGGATTTATGAACAACTGGAGTATATGAGAAAACAATAATATGTTTAATATTCTAGGTATTGGAATCTACAAGAAAAATATTCAATGAGGTTTCTCCCGACACTCAGTATGTACTTGTCTTGAAAAACTTTCCTAAACTGTGTTTCATTCGTTTTTCTCTTTGTCTTTGTAGAGTTCAAACGGGCTCAGCTGCAGCGAAAGAACTTGTTAAAATGTTAAAAGTACCTATTGATTGTTATACTATCTTAGAAGTATTAAAATTAAAACATTATAGTGAAGTATTACAATTATTAAGCTACCGTGAGCGACATATTGTGTGTACGCATATAATTAACAATGTATTGGATACTGAAACAGTTATACCAACAGCAGAAGATGTAAGCAGTGTGTTTTGTAACTTAAGATAATTTTATTTAGAACGATACTGTTATCGTTATTCTAGGTTACACTATTATTAAATTTATTAACCACATTGATTGTGGATCAAACAGATTCGGCATTTGACTTATCAAGACAAAATATTGCAAATGAAGATTTTGTAGAAGAACAGAATCTCGTGGCGAGATTGTGCAATACCCTACATTCAAGTGATGCTGATCAACAATACCATGTGAGGTTCTATTAATTGTCTGCGATCCATTTGCTTTCTTCAATAACTCATCTTCTGAAACTCCACCCAAATATCTAATAGGATACCGAAAGCTTTGTGCTGCAATTATATTGCGAACAGTTATTTATTTTAGATTTTGAAGATTTGTCAAGATACATTTAAGAATGGCGGTATTGAACGTATGCGATTTACCTATCCACCGTTAATAATGCAAGCTTATGCGTTATCCTATCGTTATAAAGCGCTAAAAGATCAGGTATAAATCTAACTTGAAAATATTTATAAGTATAATCCAGTGTTTTATTAAATTTCTTTACAGGATGAAAAATGGGAGAAAAAGTGCCAGAAACTCTTTCAGTTTTGTAATCAATGTCTTACTATATTGACAAAACCAGAATCAAATGATTTACCATTAAGACTATATTTACAGGGCTCCTTAACAGCAAGTGAAATTGGTACAGAAAGTACTGAAACAATAGCATATGAATTTCTATCACAGGTACGATCTTTGAATCTTCTAGGTATCATCATAGATTAATTTTCTCTATCTAGGCGTATGTTTTATATGAAGAACAAGCAGGTAATACGAAAGCTCAAGCAGAAACGTTAAAAGTTTTAATCGGTACATTAGAAAAAGTGAGTTGCTTCAATGAAGAAAATCATTCAACATTAAGACAATCATTAACTCAAGCGGCGGCACGTTTATTGAAACGTCCTGATCAAGTTCGAGCATTACTATTATGTACACATTTATTTTGGAGTGCTAAACGCAAAAATGAAGCGGGACAAACGGAAGAGGTATTGATTCACGTAACCTTTTTAAATATAAATTGCTTTCACTTTACGTTGTGTTCTTATTTTGTAGATTCGTGATGGTGAAAAAGTAAATGTTTGTTTAAAAAAAGCAGCAAAATTGACAACACAAGTGATGGATTCAGCTGCACAAATACAATTATATAATGAATTGCTGAACTATTATCTTTTCTTTTTCAAACAAGATCATCCACAAGTAAGCAAAATTCTTAACAATTCGAAAGTATTCAATATTTTGAAGGAGACTGTACAATGATTCTTCTATTACTCGGGAGATTGCTTTCATATGGCATATTTTCTTTTGGTTTTTTAGACTGACGTAGCTGTTCTGAATACAGTGATCGAAAAACTTCGTACTGAATCTGTACGTTTAGAACAAAATAATGAAAGCGGTGAATTCATTAATAATCAAATACGAAAAACATTTGATTATATGCGTGAACAAGCTCAGCTAGAATCAAATATAGAAAAATTTAAAGGTTTACAGATTGATTTATAAGTGACTTCACTCTTGATAAATTATTTGTTTTCACCTTTTTTGTTCTGGTGATATGTTGATTTCTTTATCTATGAAAAAGACAAATGACTGATCATCTATGGATTTGTCCGTTCTAGTCACCATCGCTCATTTAGTTTTTGTTTATTTAGTTATTTATAGTACATTAGCTGATAAAAAAATTACATCTTGATTTCTTTTTCTATCGTCACATACTGATCGTTATTCCTTTTGTTCTCTAAGTTTTAGATTTTTTATTTTTATTGACTCGGTGATTTGAACGATTTTGTTGTTGTTGTTTTAGTAACTTGTACATTTTAAATGATCAACGCTAACTTTAATGTAACTGTTTATTCTTGTTTTTTTTCTCAAATTAATCAATATTATAAGAATCATATTGAGTTCAACAGTTTTAATTTCTTTTGTATTTGTTATTTCATAATTATTATTGTTGTTCGTCTTGTTTCATTGTGTTGACCGAACGTTTTTAATTTATTCGATATGTAATGATAACTTATTCCAATTTATTGTGTACGTAGCTCTTTTTCTTAAAATAAAAACAAAAACCAGATATCTTCTTATACACTTACATCGTTCTGTTATAAGATAATTTTGTTGGGAGAAGAAATCAGAATAACACTGTACTTTCTTCATTTCTGTAAATGCGTGAATTCATCCGTTTTTATTAATGCTTTTCTGTCTCATTTTAGATCTACTCATAATTATTTGAAGATTCATAGGACAATGCCAGCTAAAAAAGGCATCGTAGCTGCTGGTGCAACTACAACATCAGGTGCAACGAAAACAGGCAGCACTGCTACTGGCCGTGTGAAAAAAGGTGGAAAAGATAAAACAAAGAATGTAATGCGTGATTTACGTATAAGAAAATTATGCTTAAATATTTGGTAAGTAATTTTTTTTAATTTTATTTTTAAAGGTGACTCATAAGCGACTAAGTCAGTAGAGCTAGAAGACTTTTGGTTCCCAGTAATTGTTCACACAGAAATATTCTGTCAGTAGCTTTGTTAAATGATCAGGTAACTACATTAATACGTTATTATCTTTTTTCTAGTGTTGGTGAAAGTGGTGATCGTTTAACACGTGCCAGCAAAGTATTAGAACAGTTAACCGGTCAAACTCCTGTCTTTTCCAAAGCCAGATATACTGTTCGTTCATTTGGTATCCGTCGTAATGAAAAAATTGGTGTTTTTGCTACTGTACGTGGTGAAAAAGCTAAAGAAATATTAGAAAAAGGTTTAAAAGTGAAAGAATATGAATTGCACAAAGGAAATTTCAGTGAGATGGGAAATTTTGGTTTTGGCATTCAAGAACATATTGATTTGGGTATTAAATATGATCCATCAATCGGTATCTATGGTATGGATTTTTATGTTGTTATGGGTCGAGCTGGTTTTGATATTGCGTACAGAAAACATAAAAAATCACGTGTCGGTGCTTCACATCGTATTACAAGAGATGAAGCAATCAAATGGTTTCAACAAACTTATGAGGGTGTCATCATGCCAGGTAAAATTTACTTGTTTGAAATGCCCTTACTGAAAGAGAAATAAGGTGTTTATGAAAGGATCAGATATTGGAATAAAAAGCGGGATCTATTAGTACTATAAATCAGTAATGGATGAAAGTCTTAGTGTATTTATTTTCTTTATTTATTTTAGGTGGAAAAGTAAAATCAAAAGTAAAACGACGACGACGTTAAAGAACAGAACAGACAACAATATAGTTTTTTTTGTTTTGTGTTGTTGTATGATTTTATTTCATCTACGAAAAAACCGAAAAGAAAAGATATAATATATAAAGAACATTATTTGCTTTTTAGTTTTCTAATTCCTTTTGGAAGACGGTTGATGTTCATAAATTTAAAAAGCGTATCATTCAGATTCTTATCAGTTGTACTCCGTGGAGAACCCAGCAGTAGATTTGCGATGAACCATCCATCTATTTTGTAATTCTGAGCGAAACCAGTTTTCGCTCAAATTTGAGCGAACAACGACATAGTAGCGGTACACTATAACGGTAAGACCAATCGTGCAATAAGCTAATAGGTATGAATGGATACTCCCCCTCATATGGAATCAAACATGACACAGATGGACTTTGCGAAAAATTACCATTTTATTTAGTTAAATTTGCTAACGGTCAGTATCTTTTTGGAAGTGAATTGCTTCGAAATATCTATTAGAATGAGCAGAGAACTATGTTTTATACATCAAGAACAAATTTCAGTGAATTAATTAAGCTCTTACAGGAGCTACTACTAAAACTGGAGGTCGATTAACTGCACGACGGTAGCAATTGAACGCTAAGTTTCCTCCTTTCTACTAATTTGAAGATTCGTTATGTTGATGAGATGATAAAGAGGATTAGAAAACAATGCAGTGTCAAAGAAATATTATTAAATTCAGCATTTTTTATATCTCTCTCCGTTTTCATCAGTGGCGACGGTTTACAGACTCATTGGTTTAACTATTATCTATATTTCAATTTGTCAAAATTAATCTCTGCTTTTCACATTCTTATTTTTAGATGATGAATACCGTTTTATTTGTTTATGTTTACATATTACATTAAGTATGGCAATAAGAAAAATAACAAGATCCTTTATCATTTGATAAAAAATTGCATAAATTTAAAAAATGACCACTTTTCGTACCTATGTGTGGGATCCTGTTTTGATTATTAGTCAGATAATAGCTGTTCAAACTTTATACTATTTGGGTCTTGGGTTTTGGATTTTGTTGTTGACATTTATTGTGGATCGTGCACCATCAATAGATTATATGTTTGCATACGATGTAAGAACATTTATTTTTATTAAAATAGTGTATAAAAAGGACGTCGCTTATTTAGACTGGAAAATTTTCAATTTGGGCTAGTAGATTATTATTTTCTGGTGTATTTTTGTTAAATACGTTGAACAGGTAAATCTCTAATTCTCTATTTAAGGAAACCACTTATTGAACCATCTTCTTATTTCCTTTCTAGTGCATTAGCGATTGTCTGTGTTGTAGGACGATATAGACAATGTTTGGATTTTTCGATGACTGTCCATTTTTATCATTTTCTAGCATCTTGGTATTATAATGGTTATATTCCATGGACATTTGACTGGTATATGACACAGTTTTTATGTGTTGTTATTATGACTATATTGGCAGAACAGTTATCGAAAATATATGAATTACGTTCTATTCAATTATCGCCAAGTGTAGATGTATAACAATGGAGGTTTTTTGTTTGTTTCTTGCCGAGATATTGCAATTGAGTCTCATCTAGTGTATGGTTACAGTAGTCTCATATAAATGAATAAATGTGCATGGGTTATCAATTAAAATTGCAAATGAAAATATGAAGGTTAAGAAGACTTCGCCATTAGAAGTGATGAAATCATGTTTGAATTTGCTAAAATCAGATCTGAATATAGAGTATTCTATTTTTATGTATATTCATCCAGTTATTGCTATTTATTAGTAAACACTCAACTATTGCATTTCATAAACATCATACTCGTCTCAAAACATATGGACAGTAGCATTGTGCAATTGTTTTCTTTGTTTATGAGTGTGTCTTCCAGTAAAACATTCTGTGTATCAACATCAGCCGGTTGTTTGTGTCATTGTTTGACTTGTTATCGATTTTATCTATGTCGTTTCCTATTTATACTTATTGTTAACTGAGAAAAAATCGTGTATTAACTTACTGTTTTTGCTGTGTTGTATAAATCTCTACATTACGGTCTAAACAGCATATATAACTTTCAAAACAGTCTGACATAAATACTTCAAGTTTCCAATTAATGATCTCTTTTATTTATTTGGCTAGGTATATCGTACATTTCTATTAAATAAGCGTTGAAAGGAACTATTATTTCACAAATCGTTTCTTTCCTCCATTTAGTTTTAGATAGTGATGAATGAGACAGAAGAGATTGTATTACCAGGAGACACGTCAAAAGCGAGGTCAATTTATTCACGTGTATGTGTCTATTGTGCATCAAGTTCAGTATGTGATAAAAAATATTACGAAAATGGGAGATATTTGGGAGAAAGATTAGCTATGTTAGGAAAGACAATTGTCTATGGTGGAGCGAAGGAGGGCGTTATGGGTGCGCTGGCTGATGGTGCACTATCGATGAATGGGAAAGTCATTGGATATATTCCAAACTTTATGATCACAAATGAAATTGAACATATAGGTTTAACTGAATTACATCGTGTTGAGTCGATGCATATAAGAAAACATAGCATGATGATGTCGTCAGATGCCATTATTGCTTTACCAGGTGGTAGCGGAACATTAGAAGAATTAATAGAAGCAATAACTTGGAGGCGACTCGGCCTCATTCATTCATTAATAATTATTATTAATCTTGATGGTTTCTATGATCCGTTAGTTGAATTATTAAACCGCATGGTAGAAGAACGGTTTATGACAAAAGATTGTAAACAACTATGGACTGTAGTTAAAACCGTCGACGAAACCATCGATATATTGGAGGATGCACACGTTAAATAAATTATTTTTCTGTTTTCGTTATCCTGACAACGAGATAAGGCTTATTTTTTTTGCCAAATCCGTTAGTCACGTGTTAGATTTGTATAGAGAGGTTTTTAGTTAGATCATATTATGTTGATAAATGATCTGCATTTCTAATTATCTATGCTGATATCTTCCAAATTCGCCCGAATTTTAGATATTTTTTGGACAATTTTAATCACTGTGATATATTTAATATTTTGAAAAGTCTTTTAAATTTAAAAAAAAAACATTTTTAAGGCGACAGAGTGAAGCGGCGGAGAGCTGAGCTTTCTTGATTTTTCTCTTTTACGTTGCTATCTTTTTGTCATCATACTTTCTTTCTTATTATTCTTTTACGTTACGTTTCAATCTCACTGCGGGCATGCCTGACATCTTACTGATGAACATGCACGATGTCAGAATATAGACATCTTACTGATCTACAAGGAATGCCCCTTTTTCAGCTATTTCGAACGCACCTCTGCGCGTCTATGATGAAAACAGTCAAGTTTTAGTTTATTAAAACAGCTTGTCCAACAGTTTTTGAAGATCTCGGAGCATCTCGTACGATGACGTATAATTCATACATTTATAGTTTTTCCGAGCTCCACATTGTAGTGTATGGCGCGAAGAAAATCATAGAGTTTCGTCTTCTTATTTGAGATGTTGTTTCCTTTTCAAAGCTTATTAATTAAAGCGGTTGTTAAGCGCTAGTTTTCTTTTCTTATTTCTTGTAGAAAAAAAACCGAGAGAAAGTGATTTTCGTTCCAAATGTTTACTCTTCTTATGGCGAGTTTTATTCAGATTGATAAAGAATAAAATAGATGGAAGTTTTTTAGATGTCATTAGCATAGCATGATATTTGCTTCGAAGAGAAAATTTCACAATTGTTTTCTCGAATCCATAAATCTACGTTATCTTTTTTTTTTCATATTTATTTTAGATTATGTCTGTTCCATTACGTGAATTTGTTCATAGAATTGCATATTGTTCAGAGAAGGCAGCATGTATTGCAAGATTAATTCGGCATATGCAGTCAGCATTTGATAATATTGTGCAAGAAAAATCAGGCACGTATAACATGAGATAGAAACAGTCTGAATTTATGATTCTTAGAACTATCACAAGCTCTTTTTCATTTATATATTAGGCAATGAGAAAAGTAAACATTTTGATGTTGATTATAAAACAATTGCTGATGTTTTAATTCAAGAAGTGGTTAAATACGATTTAAAACAACTGGTATATTCATGTCGTTATTCTTTATTTTGGTTTTCTTAATTGGTTCAAGTTAGATATACATCTTCCGTATTTTTTTATTATCCATTGTACACTATTTTAAAATGTATTTTTAGTATCCAACCCTTGAGGAAAGAATATACGGTGAAGAAGATGGTTCAATTCAAATCCAGGATGAAAAATTTCGCATAGATGTATCGGGTTCCATAGAACAAACTCTTGAATTATTGCGTAAATTGAATGATACTAATCCTTTCAATCAATTAACATTAATTTTTCTTTTATATTAAGAAAAATTGTTCAAAATCAAATGTGAAACAATGAACGATTTGGCGAAACTTATTTCATGTAAAAATATCGCAACCATTCCGAAATTATCATTCGATAAAATTCCTGAAACAACAACAATTGATTTGATTAATGTTGGTGTATGGATAGATCCAATTGATGGAACGCATCAGTACATTAGTGGAGTAGATGGATTGATTTGTCCCATAACAGGAATAAATATTGATGGCTTGCCCACAGTGAGTACAAAACTTATCATCATGTAAATATTGTAGGATAAAGCGAATGTACATCTTTTTAAAGGCCATGGTGCTGATAGGTATTTTCGATGTTTCAACAGGAGAGGCTATTATTGGCATTGTTAATAAAGTATTTCACCAAAAATTATCTGACAATAGGTAGGCGTTCTAGTTGTGAATGCATCTTTGTAATAAACTAAAACGTTTAATCTAATAACTTTGTATTATTTAGTTGGCAAGGATTAGTTTATTGGGGAACATCGTATCAAAAGAAAAATTATAATAATATATCAGAAGTTCACCAACAATTGACCAATAAAGAACCGCAAAAGCGAACAATTATTTATGGAACTGTGAACAACCATTCATTTACAAATTTATTTAATGATTGGAACAAAATAGATGTGGCAGCGTGCGGTAAATATTTCTCAACGGTCTGTTAAGATATATCTAGAAAAGTAAAATAAAAATAAAATTTAAATTATACTTTCTTTAGCTTTAGTCTCCTGAAAATTAAAACCTATCGTTCGATCTGATTAGATTATTAAAGCTAAAGCAGCAAAAGTTTTCCATTTTTATTGAACAATTTAATTTTATATATTCGTTCTATTCTCATAATAAATATGTGTTGTATTTTCTAGGTAATAAATTGATGTGTGTTGCATTGAAACAGGCTAACATCTATATTTTAACAAAGTCATCCGCATTTTTTTGGGATTTATGTGCCCCACATGCAATTATAAAGTCGATGAATGGTCAAGTAATTGATTTACAGAAAGCTGTAGATCAATATGAATTATTGAAGACATCAACAACACAATCAGTTTTAAATATGACAGATGTTGACTGGTTAAAATATCAATTAGTTTATAACAAGATTTTATCGAAAAAATTTAAACCGACTGAATGTTTAATCGTACCATTTATCGCATATTCGAATATAAAAGATTTACAAGATACTTTAGAAATTTTAGCTAAAAATAAAAATTTAATACAGCCAGAAGAAGAAAAATAACGTCTCATTTTTGAATAAATAGATTTTTTTCCTTGTGATATATATAATCTCTCATTAAGATGATGTATTTTTTAATAAATTTCATTTCTGTTATATTTTACACTCTATTTTCTCTTTTGAATACCAGTTACGGCGATAGAAATGAAGGTAACAATGTTTATTTTTTATATTTACCCTCGCCTTATTTTTCACATAGTTAGATATTATAGTAACGTTTGTTGTATGAAACATTTTTGTTCAATAAATCAAGTTTTTTCTAAATAATTTTGAATGTATACAAACAAATTTTGAAGATTATCTTTTAGAACGATGTAATTATCTGAATAAAAGAGATCTTTTAAAATGTCATGGACTCTATTTGAACAACGTCTTTTGACTAAAAATTTCGTTGTTATTTTTTCTATTGTAGATACTAACTTTAGATAATGACCGATTTACAAATCAATACAAAAATGCCGTTAAGACGAAATAGACCAGGTACAAAAGCAAAAGATTGGTGTCATTGGCCTGAAGAAAACTCTGAAAATATGGATAGTCTTTATCATATCCAACAGGTAAATTTGAACAAGAATATTTTTTGAAATATCTTCTTTTATATCTTACTAGTACATTCAACAAGCAATTCGACGAAATTCAGCTGATACTAATTTTATACTTTCATCTTCTGATCAACAAGATGAAGCCGTATGGAAATATGAACATTTGAGACAATTTTGTCTTGAATTAAACGATCTAACTGTTCGATTACAAGTAGGTTTATCATGCTGTTGTTTTAGTAAATGGATATGTATTTTTGTGATTATTATTGTTTCTATTTTATCCTTTTTTTTGTTCATACAGCATGAATGTTTGCCGGAAACATGTTCAAAAATGACGGCCACAGAACAATGGATTTTTTTATGTGCAGCACACAAAAATCCAAAAGATGTAAGATTCATTAATTAACGCTTAGCTTAATAATATTTATAATTTTAAGTGTTCTGCAATTGATTATACAAGACATACACTGGATGGAGCAATTTCATTATTGAATAGTAACAAATATTTTCCAAGCAGGTTTGTAATATTAGTTCTTTCCTTTAGTAAAAGAAAAAGTTTGATAAACATTAGTTAAGAGTATAGTTTAATAACAAAAAGTACTTTTAATCGAGTTACTGCACGAGAATCAGACAAAACATTTCCAATATTTTCATTTTTATGTATAAGTTAATGTGACCTTTTATCTATTATTCTATTTTTATTAAGAGTCAATATTAAAGACACATCTGTAGCTAAACTAGGATCAATATGTCGTCGAATTTATCGTATATTTTCTCACGCCTATTATCATCATCGACATATCTATGATGAATTTGAAAATCGTACACATCTATGTCGACGATTTACCGTATTTACTCTTCAATATAACTTGATTCCAAAAGATAATTTAATTGTGCCAATAAGCGGTGTTAATCAAGAAACAACGATGAACACCACAATACTCTCACAGTCAACAACATCAGTTAAAACAGTATCAACAACAAATAGTAATAATAACAGTCCATCATCGTTCTCAAATGTCTTACATTTCTCGATGATTCATAGTTCGTCCAACAGTAAGAATGGTACGGAAAATGACACTTAAATGAACAAAAGTATTCTCATGTAGTAGTTTTTGTGTGTGAAATGATTATATGCATATATATAAGAAGTTTTCGCTTTGTTTTTTGTGCATATACAGGCTCACAACTCTTTCTGGTATTTTTCTAACTGTTGTTTTTTAGGAAATTACTTTATGTTATAAACACTTTCATTCAGAGGTTGTTCTACACATTTTTGGATCAACGTTTTGATAATGCCTGTTTATATTTGAGCTCGAATAGAATTAGAATTATTTACTTATATTTTCATGTTCTTTGTTTGTATGTGATTTTTTTTACACTAAATTTCTATTTTTTGTTGAATGATTTTGATATAAACGAACTTGACTCATCTCATTTATACGTTGTTTTTCTCTCTGTATTTGATGTGTTGTATTCAATCTGATAAAGAATAAAAAGTAGACGGAATTTTTTGCAATGTTTTTCTTAGTTCTTAAAAAAAGGGCTAGTCAGTTCCTCGTAGTGTTAGCGCTTGGATTATTTATGTAGACTGAAGTTACTTAACAACTTACCTTTTCATTAAATGGTAGCAGTATGATTTATGTAAAAAGTACTAGTCTTGGATGAACAGAAACTAAGTCCGTAATCTATTAAATTTCTTTTCCCCCTGCTTCCAACGAAGAAACAGCCTTTGTTTTTGCTTTTTTGTATTGCTACTAGTCAGAAGAGAATAGTTCTAAAAGAGGAAAATCTTTACTCTCGATGTTGTCAGCTGTCACATAAGTGAAATTGTTGAAAAAATTGATTTATGCTTTGTGGTTTATTTGATCGTTTATTTTAAAACAGTCTGCATTTATTAAATAAATTTAAAACCAAAAACATTTTAGAATGTAAGCAGGTGTAGAAAATGATTTGTGTTTTGATGTATTTGATATATTATTGCCAAAGGACAAGGCACTATATAAAAAAAGTATATGTGTTGAGAAAAAAATATTTCTATATATAAAACAAGAGCTTAGAAATTGAAAAAAGATTAGAAATCCGACAGAATAAAGAAAAAGAAACCGCATTGAAAGAAGAAAAAGAAAAAAAAGAAAAAAACATCATTAATATGTTGAATCACCTGCGGTATTTCATCCGAAGTTCACATAGCGTAATCGACATTGTGTTGTAATTATATATATTTTTTTTCTCTTTCAAGTGCTAACATTTTGTTGTATTTGTCACTTTAATAAAGTTAATTTATTGCTAATTTCTTTTGTTAAATAAGCCATCATTTATACTATTAACAAATATTCTCGTATTAATTTATATTTATTTGATTAAAAATCTTTTGATATATAAAATAATTGTTGAATATTAACATTTTTCAAATTTGTTAAATTAATTGAATTTTTTCTAGAAAACAGTCGATTGATGTTTTGAATGTACAATCTTCATCATTCAATGAACAAAATATCTATCGATAACACAAATGATCGTGACAAAGCCAAGACATAAAAACCATTTTGTTGTAGAACACTTCAGAAACCAATGGGTAATTTTAATATTCCATCTTTTGGACTAAAATAATAGTTAAGAAATGGACATACTCCAATCAGATTATTCATTATCTGTAGAAAAATGAATTATCTTAGCCAATTGACGTTGAGTTATTTTTAATACATGACGACGCAATGCTAGTAGTGATTATTTTTAAATCTTTGTTAACTTCTTTAGTAACCTTTTCGAGCACTTTGTCAATAAGCTATTTGTTTCTATTATAACGTTGAATCTAACTAATTACACTTATTCTTACTTGTAAATTCGGCGCTGTTGTTATTTCTCATCTTATTCTTGAACTAACGAACAGTTCATCGTGCCATTTAAATGTTTCATACATTCACTAATAACATATCTGTTCGATCGTTAAGATTTGTTGTTCACGTTTTTCATGTATAAGATTCAAGAAATCTAATGAAATTTGATGGTTTGATTCATGATTATTTTATTCGTTTTACACGTTCACCCTTTTATGTCATTATTGACTCTTTTTAAACATTTTCAACATTTCATCTGTATCTATCTAGTTTCTCAACGCTGTTTGTTTAACATTCGGTATGCTTAGAATTGCTATTGGTCAGAAACCATTGAAATAGATAAAAAGCAAAAAGTAGTCTCATTAAAAGTACTTTTAATGAGAAAGATAATTGTATTATTTTTTCGGTAACATGAAACTTTATCATATTGTTTTTAGCACATATAATTTCTTTTGATTTTACTCGTAATATATCTCGAAATTAGTTGTTGATAACTAACTAGAGTGAAAATAAGTAACGGTTAGATTAGAGTTAAATTGTTTGAAAATAGAATGAGATCAATAGAACCGAGAAGAAAAAATCTTTAAGTGTAGTATGACCTATTATGCTAAAGTGTTACTTTAAGTGTGCAAGTGGCAATGAAGTGATTGTTTAAATCGTAAAGTGGCTTAGAAAGTATGTCAAGAAAACAAGACTTTTCCCCTTCTCTTTAGGAAGACGTTCGATCTTACGAATTTATCATTTTTTCAATCGTCTTATTTTACTATTTTATCCCATCGTCATTAGTAATAAATTGATCCTCTTCTTCACTCCGATTGCACACATGTATAAAATCAGACTATATACTTCCCCTTTTTCTTGTATATAATCGTACTGTTTCTTTGATAATTTTTCTAACACTTGATTTCAAGTAAAGTAGTGTGTATCTTTTTATATTAGAGTGAATCCTAAAAAAACGGCTGTAATTGATATTATCCATTGTCACGTGTTTAAAGAATCGATTTTAGTCATTCACTAGTTAAGTAATTCATGTGATATATATTCACAGAAATAGAATATCTATGCCGAACAAGTTATGTAAACTTTTTTCAACTTTGTCAATGATATTCACATATTGAGATAAAATCAGCAGTACTAATAAGTTACGAGGAGTTTAAGTTGATAAAAGAAATGTAGACTATCATAGATCCAAAACTATTGTTTCTCTACTTAGAAGACAATTTTGAATAAATTGTTTGACTTCTTTTTTAGAGTTTTGAATTTCTTTTCCTCTCTTTTTCATTCTCTCCCTTTTCATTCGTTTTTCCTTAAGTATTCGCCATCATAAAAAAAGACATACGATCGATCATGGCACCACCAGCAGGATTAAAGAAGAAATCTGGTACAAAAAATCCACCCATATTCAGTCAAGATTATCTAATACAAAATCATGGTAAGTCTCATATACTTCAAGCTAATAATAACAAAAGGTAATTGACCTGTCCACCGAAGTTTGCTACCGCAAGTGTGATTCCGCCACGGTTTTCCACTAAATTAAAATGGTCATAACTTTTAATGAAAAGCCGTAGAGAGTCGAACAGCATTTCGTTGGAAAGAAAAGACGTAGCTCTTTAAAACTGGATCCAAGCGAATTGTTCAAAAATTTTCGTTCAGACGAAAAAATGTGAAACATACATATCTCTTAACTTCATTGTTTTGTCAAAAGAGATCCAAATTCTTTTAATTGCTTCGTCTAAGCGAAAATTTTTGAACAATTCGCTTGGATCCAGTTTTAAAGAGCTACGTCTTTTCTTTCCAACGAAATGCTGTTCGACTCTCTACGGCTTTTCATTAAAAGTTATGACCATTTTAATTTAGTGAAAAATCGTCGCGGAATCACACTTGCGGTAGCAAACTTCGGTGGACAGGCCGTAATTCTTTGTATTTAAATAGTTTTTACACGTATGAATCATTATCTCAAACAGTCTATTAAATATTGGTCTAACGAGGGAAGGCTACCAGCTGTCCCATCGGTTTTCGCCTAAAACTTAGTGGACTATGGGTAATCGAGTGTGCTGAATCCGAATACCACAATGGTTTTTCTCCAAAGCTCTCTGGAGACCCCGGTTTTTGGAAAACTAAATTTTCAGAAACTCTAAAAAATAATCAAAACGTTTCTTAATAAGGCCCGATTGCAGTCTGCACATTTCTGATTAAAATGAGACATCTCCCAGCTCTACACGACCTTTCTTTGCAAAGTTATAGAATTTACAAGAAAAGCCCTAAATATTCATTGTCAGCTCAAAGCTACAGAAATAAGAAGAAATTAATTTAGGGTTTTTCTTGTAAATTCTATAACTTTGCAAAGAAAGGTCGTGTAGAGCTGGGAGATGTCTCATTCTAATCAGAAATGTGCAGACTGCAATCAGGCCTTATTAAGAAAGGTTCTGATTTATTTTTTAGAGTTTCTGAAAAACTGGTTTCCCCAAAACCGGAGTCTCCAGAGACCTTTATTCTTACAACACTGAAGAATTCTTTTTGGAAATTTTCTTATTGGAAAATGCTTTTTATTCTTACAGGTAGATTCTGCACCTCTGGGAAACACAATTGGAGATGCATTGTGTGATAAATGTTTAATTAATTTTTTAGGAGATATTGCCTGTGGTATTCTGATGGTTATTGCAGTGGGTACTGTTGTGCATGTGACATCACCCTATTGTACAGCATTTTTTGGCCCTCGCCATAATGTGACAACAAATGTGACAACAAGTAATATTGAAAGTGTAACAAAACAACGAATGTTATACAATTATGGATATAAAGATTTGGCCATTCTATTTTCTTACACGTTAGTTTGTATTACGGGTCATGCTATTATACAAGAATATATATTAGATAAAATTGGAAGAAAATTACATTTATCAAAATCAAAGAATTCAAAATTCTATGAATCTGGTCAATTACTATTATTCTATGTTATAAGTGTTTTATGGTCATTGATCATAATGAATGAAGAAGGATACTTTAAATCAGGTTTATCTTATTTATGGTTAGATTATCCGTATGTTGGTATGACACTCATGACAAAATTATATTTTCTCGTGCAAATATCCTATTGGTTACATAATTTTCCTGAATTATATTTACAAAAAATTCGTAAAGAAGATATACCACAACGTATTGTTTATACAAGTTTATATTTAATAGCTATATTGTACGGATATCTGACACGTTTCTGGCGTATTACACTGGTATTATTGAATATTCATTATCTGATTGAAATATTTTTTCATTGTTCTCGTATCATCTATTTTTATTCGAATCATAAACAAACAACAACAATAAAACATGCGAAACATACATTTACACTTTGGAATATCATGTTTGTATTTGGCCGATTAATATCAGGTACGATATTTATTTGTCTGTTTAAAACTAGCTATGATAAATATTGAATATTTTAGTTGTTATTGCTTGGCTAACATTTTGGTTTGGATTGAAAACAAATTCTATCGATAAAATTAAATTTGCCTCAACAACAACAGGCATCGGTGGAAATGAAAGTGTTATTATAAGTAATTTTAATACATCAACTGTGAGAATGTTAACATTGTTTTCTATGGTTATGATTCAATTATGGTTAATGTGGAATTTTATCAATTTTCATTTGAGGCGAAGACGTGAACAACGAGCATTAACACAAAAGACATCAGTTAGCTCATTGCATAAAAATAAAAATAAAAATAAAACTCTTGTCAAGAAACAAGCTGAATCGGCAAAAGATGATAGTGATGATGTAGATGTTGATAACAGAGATGTTAAATTATCACCGTCAGGAACAAGTGGACCCAAAAAAACAAATTAATCAACTTTTGTTTTATTTTATTCTTTTTGTTTAACGTGAAATCAGAAAAAGGGGAACCATGTTACTCATTTCATATTTATTATTTTAGTTGTTGTTTTAGCGCATCTTATAAAAGATAAACGTTCTTTCTCTTTTTTATTGTGTCTTTGTTGTTTCTCTCTTTCTCATACTCACACACACACACTTCCTATCTATTTCTTGTTTTTAATTGTTGATTGTTTTTACTAGGCGTATATATTTATCGTGGTGCGGATAAATAAAATCTGATTGATCGTGTTGTTAAAAGTCATGTTTGAAAATAAAACATCTAATCGAGACGATCCCTTGATAATGTAAGTTTCACAGATCTTCATGAGTATGTGTACATTAATTGATGAGAATTATAATCTGTTATTGAATAACATAAGATGTAAGGTTGATATTGCATGAATCAAGAATTGGCTAAATTTGTTTATATTTCACTCTAAGGGTAATGTAGAAAAACTACTTATAATAACAAAGTTCTAATTAAATGACAATCTTATTGTGTTCATGGTTTGTCTTCTTTAGCAATTTTATACACGATGTCTAGTTCTAATTAAAGAATAGACACAAATTTTAGCAGTTTTGTCTTATTTCAGGTATTTCTATACTGGTTACCTAATCTATTCTCAAAAACTCGTACTGAGTCTCTCCTCCACCCAGAGAACTTTTGGACAAGGTGCGATTCTGCGCGGGCAATTGTCCGCTTCAGTGTTTAATATATTTTCGAAAACTTCGAGACGAAAACGTGGCTTGTGTGCCCTTGATCCCACACGATTCAATACTGGGCAGAAAAATAAGTTAACGCCATAAACACTGTCCAACAGCGTCCGGAACAGCTTTTTTTTGTTTGATTTATGAAGATACTTTGGTTCAGCTGGCTTCTCGAACCCTCGAGTAAAACACTTTTTTGTGAACTTCATTCATCTGAAAAAGAGAAATTATTAGCGGTTAGGGAAGCGAGTAAAATGCTTGATCTATCGGTTGGATGCCATAGCAGGAAAAACTCTAGTTCCACTTGTCGTAAATATTTCGATCCAGACTAGTTTATTAAACGTTCTGCATAATTGCACAGTCAATTATCAAATAAGAGCCCAACGCTGAGTTTTCTTTCCAGTACATAGTGTCCCATTTCATTCTTTTTGTAAGCCAGATGGTACAAATCAATTGATTACTAGCAGTCAAAATGCAAAAGAAGACTCATCACCTGAAATTGGTGCTGAAGAATTCAAAGTCGCGCCCAACGTTGCAGAAGCTCAGAAACGTTAACATAATCAACGGCAGCAACGATGACCAGAGAAAAAATTCAATGGAAAATACCCAAGTAACTTCAGTCGACCACGTTTTTATGGCTATTATGTTTCTTCTTAGTACTGTTATTCATCGCAATAATAATCGTTTTGATTTATTACAATACAAAAATGAAACGCTAAATCAAAAGCTTGACGATATTGCAAACAAAAATGAATACAAAATATTCGAATAACGCAAAAGGTACTCTGATTTTAATTTGTATGCAATTCGCGTGGAACCATTTTTTAGTACCATGTCTGCGGCACATTGAGCATTTTTCGCTTGGCAGGTGAACCCGGATGTAAAGTGGGTTTGACACCACGAATGTGAACATTTTCAAATTTTTGAACAATAGTTCAGTGCGAGAAAAACTGAATTCGACGTTAGGTACCGACAATGCAACAATCGAGCAGAATTTTTTCGGTTTTTTCTCGGTTTGAGTAGATAGCTCATCGAGTTGTATAGAAAAGAGTCAATTTCCCCGTTTCTCGCGTCGTTTTAGAACTCACATTTTAATTTTAGGTAAAATAATCCATTTTTTAACAAAATAGGTTTCGAGGGGATCTCTAGGAGGTCTCTGGAGATCTTTTAGACAAAACTTTTTTGCAAGCACAAAAATGATATCAATTGTAGAGCATGACGAGTTATCTATTGAGGAAAAGTTTCAAAGAATTCTAGTTTGTCATAAAGGAGAAAATGGAAATGCTTCAACAAAAAATCTTCGTCGTTCTATTTTATCACTTTGCGCCAAAAACCACAAAAAAACAAAGATGGCTTTTCTCTGCTACAAAGCAAAATAAACCAAAATCGATATATACTTTTTTCTCGCAAGTCCACTGGTTAGAATGAAATCACACCTTCAAAACCATCCCCTGAAGAATCACCCGACCACAAGCGGAGGCGGGAAGTAGGTGGTCTCTGACATCGACGAAACTTTCAGAATACGTTAACCAAGGCCTATAAACATGATTTGCTCGTTCATAAAGAACCAGGTAAAAATTGATGTTTATGACTTCCTCGCTTCGGCCCAGTTTTAGCTGATCCCTTCCCTTCTTCGTCTGGATGTCTTTTAAAAATGAGAGCAATTTTCACGAAAAATAGCATTTCAAAAGACTATGAAAAGTTGTTCGAGTCCGCAGTTTTAAAGAGCTCGTCGAGCTGATTATTTCGGCACAAAACTTTAGAAAAAAGTGTTCCGTTTTTGGGAAAGTCCCAAAATACTGTCAAATGAGCCACTCATTTTGGTATATCTTGTAGGCAAAGCTGCATTTTAAAATTCCGATTCAAAAATCCTATTTAGAGTGCGTTATTCAAACTCGAATAGCGCAGCCGATATGATTGTTAGAACATTCTCAAGCCCACCGTTTGATAGAGCTTGAAAATCCCAACAAATGTGGGCGTTTGACAAAATTTTAACAAAATCAGATGTCAATGTCCATATTATTTCAGATTTGATACAGACCTATACTGTAAGCCGAAATTTTTTCCGCAATGAGAGTCCCATCTGACAGTCTGGGTTTTTTTTCAAAAATGCTATTTTTCGTGAAAATCATGTTTATGGGTCCTAGTTTCATCGATTTCTGAGACCACCAACTTCCCACCATCGGATGAGTGTTACAGAATATGACTCTTTAAAGTATCTTCGAAAAACGAAACCTCCAAACACAAAACCTGAAGGAGACAAAATTCTTTGTTGGTTCCACATTTTTATGGTCAATTTCTTGCAGTTGTCTTTTACTTCGCAAAAGTATACATATATTGTCTTCAGTTTTCTATCGAACAGATTAAACAGTGAATTATCAAATTACTGCAACAAGTCCAACAACAATGAAACCAACAGGTGGAAACATGGCTGAACCATCGAACAATACAGGTGCTCCTTCTTTTAAATGGTGGTATGGTACGTTTTCGGAATCAAATTGACTTTAATTCATTTTACTAATTATATCACTGTCATGTTTATGGCAAAATATATATTCTTAATAATTTGGTAATATTATTCTTTCCGACCAATTTTTGCTTGTTTCGGCCTTTGATGATAAAACACTGCTGGAAGCTAAAAGCGTTTTCCTTCTACACGTCAAAAAGCACTTCACACGCTGACAATACAGCACTAAATGAGAATTTTTTCAAAAAAAGCTTGTACTAAAGTAATTTTTAGTCGACCACAAGTGAATATTTCGGAATTTGTTTTTAAAATATATGCGTCAAATTGTCTTCTACGAATAGGATAGAGAGCAGTATACGTAAAAGAGGCATGGATGGTGCCCCTGAACCCTTCTTCCTGAAGTCTTCTAGAGAAGGTTGTGCGACATTAATGCCATTTACTGTTTCAACATTGTCCTGTTTCGAAGCTTAAAACTATTAATTCTTGTTTTGTGTCATTGCTTTTATACTGATCAGTTGTTCGGTCAACCTATCAATATAATTTTTTAATTTTCGTTCAAATTTCACTACTTTCTGTTCAATAATATTCCTATAATTTTTCATTCTTGATTCAAGTAGCGTTTGTGTTTGTTCAGAACTATTTACGCAGTTATCGACTAGAGGTACGAGATTTAAGGATGATGATGAAGAAACAGTCCGAACTGGAACTGCATGAACGGAATCAACGTGTAAAACGATCAAACGTTTCACGTCACGCAAATATCGCAAAGATCCTAAAAACGGTATTTGCGATGTTCAATGAATTTCCGACAGCTTCGTTTGCCAGTTCAGAACTTTCACTTGATGAACTGTTGTCTACCGTGTTAGAATAATCATTGGATTCAATGTAGTATCATCTTTAAACTTTGGTGCAGAAGTCTTGAAATGCGCGATCTTATCTTGGTGCCTGCCTCAGAGATGTAACCGGTCAACAAAATCATGACCCGTACCGGCCGATCCCCGGTGACCGGCGATCATGTGGGTATTCCTATAATATGGACAGGAATACTCAATACATATTACTATATTTCGAGGGTCATACTGAAGAGTATAGATACGTATCTGGTGCATATGCAGTAGAAATAACGAGAAAGTCATTATAGCAATAATAGTTTTGGTACCGTTAGGTGCCAGTACAGTCTGTACAGTTACATAACAGATCCAAAGATATCATAGTAAAGAAAATTGGAAATACTTTAGAGTTATGTATTCCTTGTCAAATAATTTTTCTCATCTACTGACAACAACTCTATTGGATCTTACTTAGTTCAACACGATAAACTATATGAAACTTTTTAATTTGTATATCAATATTAATTCATCAAAATTTAAACTAATAAGTCTTCTTCTTATCACTTGCTCTTCATGACGATAATATGGTGTGTTACCATACATGTTCAGCCCATTTACGGTGCAAAAATCACCATTTTTGATATGTACCGTACGTACGAGCGGAAGATATTAATATATAATACTAAACCGTTTGCTTTCAAGCGAACTAATTCAGCTGATCATAACTATCCAGGTCCATGAAAACAGTGTCGTTAACCCAAGGGGGAAAAAGCATACTTCTGTACTTCTGGTACTTCTCCGTACTTCTTGATACTTCTTCGTACTTCTTCGTACTTTTTTGTACTTCTCCGTACTTCTGAAGTACGAAGTACGAAATACGGGATTTCGTATTTCGTACTTCGTACTTCAGAAGTACGGAGAAGTACAAAAAAGTACGAAGAAGTACGAAGAAGTATCAAGAAGTACGG